TAGGAACTAATGTGTAGGCAAATACCACAGTATTTTAGTTATCTATTTAAGTCTTAAATAGACACTGTGAGAATAATTAGTTTAAAGAATGTATTTTGAAGGTATTTTTTCTGTCAGAATTCATGGGGCTTCAGGTACAGACATCAGAAGTGTTGGGCTCCCTGAGCATTTGAAGTTCTGAGTGCAGTGCCACACTGATTTGTGTGTCTGCTTTCTCTGGAGTTTTGAGCAGTTGGGATAATGGTGTGAGGGGAATCCTCTCCTGTGGTCTGGCCCATTCTCTTGGTGATGTTTAATCTCTGAAATGTGCTAGGGGCTTTTAACAAAGAAAACTTTTTTCTCCTTCCTCACTAGGCCGCCTTAATATTACTTACCCCATGCTGTTCAAGCTGACCAACAAGAACTCAGACAGAATGACTCACTGTGGAGTGCTGGAGTTTGTGGCTGATGAGGGCATCTGTTACCTTCCACACTGGGTGAGCTGCCTCGTGCTGGGCTCTCAGAACCTGAAAAGTAGGATTAGCAAGTTGCCAAGTTTAATATTAAGGAGGTGGAATGTTTCCTGGCAGTGCCTGTCTCTGCTGGTCATGTTCCTACAGCAGCCTTCAGTTCTGGCTCAGGCTCCCTCTGCAGAAGTTTAGCTTAGCAAAGCAGCCTGCTTTTAACGTGCCCCTGACAGTTCTTCCTGCAATTGCATATCCATAAGAGCTGATAAGCACAGGAGAGAGATTTGAAAACATCAGACCCATTGTAGGACTTTGTGTGTTTGTTTCCTTTCTTGCAGATGATGCAGAATTTGCTGCTGGAAGAAGGAGGCCTGGTGCAAGTGGAGAGTGTGAATCTGCAAGTTGCTACTTACTCAAAATTCCAGCCACAAAGTCCAGATTTTCTTGACATCACCAATCCCAAAGCTGTGTATCCTTCCTATTCAATTATGGAATAAGGGGGAAAATTTTTCTTCCAAACTGGAATGATCAAACAGAGCGAGCTTTTGATGTGTGGCTCATACACTTCCAGTAGTACGTGGCCACTGCTGCCCCTTCTGAAAGCAAAAGGGATGGGGAGCTGATGTACAGAGATGTGGTCAGCTGTTGGTACAAAGTGGGGTCTGAAGAAGGAGGAGTGTTGGCTTAAAATCCAATGAGTTTTGAGTGTCCCCTTGAAGAATTTATACATCCTAACATTTCCTAAAATCGTATCTGCAGTACTGATGACTTTTAAATCATGTTTGAGAAGCTGAGGATTAGAGATCTACAGTATGGTGACTTTAAGCCTTTAATGTTTTACTGAAAACAAATATTTCGTCTTAACATACTCCAAAGACTGGAAAATGCATTGAGGAACTTTGCCTGTCTAACTACTGGGGATGTGATTGCCATCAACTACAATGAAAAGGTACAGTTTAGGGCTGAGGGTTGTAGGCTAGGTTCAGTTGTTGGATGTTGGTACTAAAACAATCAGCCCAGAGCTGTGCAGTGTTTTGGACAAGTAAGCCCCATGGCAGATTTCACAGTTGGTTTTCTATTGGAGGGAAAATGGAGTCAGCTAAGTCTTTTTCTGAGCTGCTGTTTAAATTTCTCTGAACTCACAAGAAAATAAATGTTTGTGCTGTTGAAGGTTATACAAGTCAAGGGAAAGAATTTATCCTAAATTCAGAATTTGTTTTTAGAAATGCAGGTTAAAGTACAGTAAGAACAAGGTGCAGTAATGGCTTCTCTGGCTTCTAAGTTAAAAACTTTTGCTATTAAATTCTCTAGAGACCCTGCAGTATCTAGTCCTCAACCTAAAGAGTACTTACTTCAGCTCTGGAGGGAAGGTTTAGATATGCTTTCCTCACACATAATGCAATCCTCAAATATCTGTGACTGTTTCAGATCTATGAGCTTCGGGTAATGGAGACCAAACCAGATAAGGCTGTGTCCATCATAGAGTGTGATATGAACGTAAGTTAAAGCTGATGGGGAAGGTCTGCCCTAACTGTGTCCTCCCAAGAGGAGAGGGCACCTGTGCAGTGATAGCTCTGCACAGCCAGCCCAGCTGGTGCTGCAAGAAAGGTGCAATCCATGGGGTGGGAAGGTGACTCACTAGGGAGTGCTCGTGTGCCTTTGTAACCCCATCTGTGATCCTCATCAGCACTTCGTGTACCATCAGGTGACTGCAGTGCCTAGAATTTAGTGTTTAGCTTTGGCATGTTTTATCTGAGTTCTATTTAATAGCTTGTCTTGACTCATATTCCAGTGATATTGTGGAGCTGTTTTACTGCTCTGTTTCCATTACATGCTAAGGCTCATTCCTAAGAGGCTTGGTCTTATTTTAGTTCTGAGTTAAATTGTTTAACAAGCAAATCTTAGTTCTTTTTAGATCCAATGTAGTGATAATAGTTTATGGAGTTTTGAGGAATAGTAATATAAAGTTTATAATTTAAAGAAAAATATTAATAATGTTTTTTTTTTCATGCTTCTTGTGTAAATAGGTGGATTTTGATGCTCCTTTGGGATACAAGGAACCAGAAAGAAGTGCACAACACGAAGAGGCTGCTGTATGTTAAGCTTTTGTTCTTCCAAAATGCATGCCCTAGGAGTCACTATTGATTGTGGAGAGAGTGCCAACATAATGTTTTTTATTTAAACAAGTTCTTAGGGGTAAATTTTACTTACCAGAAGCTTTTGCATGTGTTACTTAGGAGACTGATGTTTACCAACTGTTATTTTGGGAAAGTGATTGTTCTGAAGTTTTGTTTGGTCAGAAATACTTGGAACTGTTTTCATGTCATGTGCATGTCAGAACAAAATGAACTTGTTCTTCCCCTCACAGGATGTGGAAGCAGACCACAGTGGATATGTGAGCGATATAGGATTTCGTGTAAGTGCCCTGTCTCTGCTGGTTTCTGAATGCTGTGAAATGGTGAGGGAAAGTTGTTCTGAGTGACTGCAAAGTATTAGTACCTGTTCTTAGAAATGCTTGTTATTTAACTGGCAAGTGCCTGGAATGTTTGTGTGGTCACAGCCAGGAGCAGCATGACTTGCTCTCTGCAGAGGGCAGATGGGAGACTGAAACAGACCCCTACACCCACAATTCATCAGCTTATATGTACCAAAAAGAAGCATGCTGATTTAAATAACTAGATGAAAATTGCTGTAAGATTTTGCAGAAATAATGTCCTTGTGCAGTGTGCTTTCAGATGCCAGGAGTTCAGTTAAAACTGGTTGTGTATCCACAGGCATTCTCTGGATCTGGGAACAGATTGGATGGCAAGAAGAAAGGTGTGGAGCCCAGTCCCTCACCAATTAAACCAGGAGACATCCGAAGGTATGGCTGTATCATTCACCTGTAAACCAGTGCAGGATCAGGGTTTGAGCAGAGTTTGGTTTTTTCCCCTGCTCCTGCAATATAAACAACCTAATTTTGTCATGAGTTTGACTTTAGAAAATAGTCTTTCTTATCCACAGGCTAATGGAAACATGCCTGTGGCCAAGCTTCCACAACAAATCCAGTATTTGATTATTTACTTCTGCAATCTTCAGAAAATAATTCAGTGGTTTAACTCTGGAATTATTTAGAAATGAAAATAGGCAGTCAGTGTTGGTATTACACTGACAGACACAGGATAGGTCACTCTGTGTCAAATGCAACAGTATATAAACATAATGTTTTTATGCTTCTTTTCCAGAGGAATTCCCAACTATGACTTCAAGATCGGTAGAATCACGTTCATTAGGAATTCACGTCCACTGGTCAAGAAAGTGGAGGAGGTAAATAAAGTTGAATCCTTCCCAGTTTTGCACAGAATTATATCATTAGAACTAAGGTCCAAGTTTGTGGCCCCTCTGTCTTTCCCCTTGTTTTTTTTACAGCATGCTTCCTTTAAAAAGTGGCAGTAGTTTAGAATGGTTTGAGTCAAATGAAACAACCTGTGATGTCCTTGTTTCTGATGGAAAAAGATTGGCCTGGTGTCAGTTTATTAAGCCAGTTGGCTGAAAGGTCACCAGCATGCTACTATTTTATTTTCAGGAAGAAAGTGATTGTTATCTAGATTAGGGATGTGAAATGCCTTCAGTCAGTGGAGTGTTCTTGCTAACAATCGCTCAGCTTTCATCGCACACAAGCAGTGAGCCAAGAGGTAAAACCTTTTGTCCCTCTTTCTTTTTCCCAGGATGAATCTGGAAGCCGGTTTATTGCCTTTTCAGGAGAAGGCCAGTCCCTGCGCAAGAAAGGAAGGAAGCCCTAAGCTGTGGTACCTGCAGCTAGTGAGGGGGAAAATCAAATAACAGGTGCAGCATCTTGGATCTTCGTAATTGCACTTGAGAGATCGTCTTGCAACACAGGAGCACGTAATTGGTGTTTTGGTCTCATGTTTAGAGCTGGAGCTGTCAGACTGGCTTCATTTTCAGTTGAAAATTAAGTTCTGGGATTTGGAAGAAGCTTTTTGTACGTGTTGTAAAGAGGGGAACACAGGTGTGTGGTAAACCTGAGAAGCAAAACTAACCAGCTCTACCTTACTAAGGGTCCAGTTCTTAGACTACATCCTCCCTTCATCTCCTGAGTGATGATGATCTCATGTTGCTCTGTGCTTGGTATTTTCCTTCCTTTATATATATTTTGCCACAATTTCAGATCAGCTTTTTGGTGTGGTGCAAATGAAGGGTGACTTTGGTGTTTAGGATTTTAGTGCAGGGAGTCTCTTTGAGCTTAGCTTCAGGTGTTGGGTTATTAATCATTCTAAGCAAACCCCCTGTAATTGCTTTTTATATTTATAATTAATAACACGCCTTTTAATAGTTCAGATACTCTAACGTAGCGTAGCAATCCCTTGGCACGTGCAGGGAGAGGAGGGACCCAGCTGCACTGCCCGGTGCCGCTTTGGAATGGCGCGAGTGTATCCTGTGCGCCCTCTCGTCTGCCGGCGAGCGTACCCGGGCGCACCCCTGCGCTCCCCTGCGAGCCCGAGTAAAAGTTCCTCGTTCCCAGCTGCGTGCCCGTGTGGTGATTTCGGACAGACCGAGGCTCGGCGCCTCCCGGGCGGCCTGCGCCGCTCACGTGCCGGCCGCGGAGCAGCCATTGGCTGCCGGGCGCGGGCCGCTCCGTGCCGCCCCTCGCCATTGGCCGCGGCGCGGGTCCCGCCGTAAGCGCGGTGGCCATTGGCGGCGGCGGCATGGCGGGCACGGGCGGCTCCTGGCGGGTGAGCGGGCGCGGGGCCGGGGGCGGCCGGGGCCGGGATCGGGATCGGGCGGCGGGACTCGGTTCAGCCCGGCCGTGTCCGTCCGCAGCCGCCGCGCTCGTGCGAGGACTACTGGGGGGAGTGGAAGCATTGCCGCGGGCTGCGCCACGCCTTCCACCACTACTACGCGCACGGGGAGCTGCCGGACTGCGGCCGCTGGCGGGAGGACTACGAGGCCTGCCGCGCCTGGGAGAGGGACCGCAGCGCCGCCGCGCAGGTACCGGGCCCGCTCCCGCCTGCCCGCCGCTCCGCAGGCCGGGGCTGCTGCGACTGAAACCCGCAGCCGCGGGGGTTGGGGAGGGTTCGGAAAGGCAGGAGCCGGAGGTGGGTCGGCTTGTCTTAAAATCAGTGAAGGATCCAGGAAGTATTTTCGGTTGTGAACGCTCTTGATTTCTGTTACTCTGACATTTCCTTCCTAAAAGGAAAATCCGCCACGTTACAGGGAAAAGGCATTCCTGGGGTGTCTAGAAATGCCCCTGGCTCCAGCCCCCCGACACTGGACCGCAGGCTCCAGCCTAACTCCTCCTCCGGCCAGCCAGGACAGCTTCCTTCGAGTTTCCTTCGGAACTTAGGAGCCAGAGGCAAAATTAAATATGACTTAGTTAAAAACTTGTATTCTGGGTTACTTAGATAACATTTAGTGCTTCTGCTTAAGCATGATAAATTTTTATTTCTTTTATCTCAGATGTTCACAGCAGGAAATCAGCTCTGGATGACTGGAACATCCAACACTACTATGGTAATATTTTTTTTTCCTGTATTTCAGGAAGCTTTGTGCAAGAGTGAAAGAGCTCGAGTTATGGAAAAACAGAAATATGCTCCAGTGTGGAACCTCAGGAAGAGCCCACCACCTGACTGGTATCTACCACTTGACCAAGACAAATCAAATTAACAACACTGTTTTCTGTGTTTGGTCAATAACATAATACTCAATTCAGAATTATGCCTTTTTTTTCCCCCTTCCACATAATCTTGAAGTTATTCAACTGTAGCTCTGCCCTACAGTACTTTAGCACTTGCTCAAAAATTCTGAAATGTTATTTAAATAATGAATACTTTTAAAGGGAAATTTAAGGTGCTTGATTTGTTGTGGTCTTTTACTGTTGACTTACATTTCAGGATTTCATTTCAGCAGGCACCTTCCAAATTAATGCATGCATGCTCTAGCTCTGAGGGCCTCTTGCCCTAGCAGCTGGCATTGAGCACTTCTGGACAAGGTACCCACCCCAGACCTGCCAAATGGGGAAAAAGAACCAGGCTGGGACTCTTCCTTTCTGGCTCAGGACAATCCCAAACACTGGCATTTAAGACATTTCCCAGAACCAGGGTTGTGGTGCTTGAAGAGCTTCTCACCTGTGGGCTGCACACCCTGGAACTGCCCCTTAGTGGAACTGCTCTCGACTGGTGGTGTGTGTTGTGGCAGTATTCAACACAACTGAAAAATAAAGGTTTAAACAAATATAGAGAGAGATCTGGTTTGTATGAGGGCAAACCCACAGAAACTGAGTTACAATGGTTACATAGCAATATAAGAAAATAAAAAAAATTGGCTTTGCCACTATGTAAGGTCGTGTAGCTTTGCTAGGTGTGTTATTACCTGGACAGTCATTAAAACACACAGATACTTCATTTATTTTTTTACAGTCGCATCCTGCAGTGTTGTAACCTGCAGGAAAAATTGTTTATTACTCCAATCTTTCTTCCTTCAGTCACTGAGCTCCTGGTGGCGGCTGAAGCAGGAGCTCCCCTGTCACTGTGTGTACACCTTGGTGATGTCAACGCACTTCCCCTCGGGGGGATCGTAGCCAGGAAGGGGAGGGGTGTGACTGGGCCCGTCCCTCTCGAAGGGGAAGAGCCCCTCGTCCCTCAGGATTGCTGCCTGGTACAGCTCCTCGGATTCCAGCTGCAGCTCCTGCAGCGCCTCCTGCTGAGATTCGACAAGGCCTTTGATTGCTTTCTTTTCTGCCTCGTCCTGTTTCTGCTTAAACAAACACCACTTCTTCAAAAGTAAAACTCTTCTTTCAGACTCTTCAGGAGAAAGAGCGGGAAGGCTTCGCACCCTGATGAGGAGAAGGATAACACTCATGGAGAAACAGCCTGACCAAAGACCAAACTAAGAAAAACAAAATGCCCAAACCAAAAATCCCACCACCAGGCAAAAAGCCCCCACCAAACCCAGAGAATACACTGAATTCACTAGTAATTTAGTCAGTCTGTGAGGTTTTCCAGTCAATCTAACAGGAAATGCACTGGTTTTCATTATTTTTAGCAAGAACAAATAACATTTCCTTTCCACATTTTTGTCCTGATGGAGGTGGGTAAGGTTTTGTACCAAGGCTGGCACTGTGTTGCAGTTGTGCAGAAGAAATTCACTGTGAGTGCAGGTGCAGGGTGAAAGGCAGACCTACTGACCTGTTGCTCTCTGAGTACTTCAGTGGTGTTATAAAATCCTCAATTGGAATCAGTTCTGGGGCAGCTTTTTCCAACTTTTTAAGCCTTTTCTTCATACGCTCCTTCTGTGCTTGCTCTTTCTTCACATCCACTTTCTTTTTCTTCTTTGGTTGTGCTCTATAAGGGAAATAGTAAATGAAAGAAGATATTTTATCCTTTAATTCAACACCAGCAACTTTCCCTTTCTTTTCCATTGTTTAATTTGTCCCTGACACAAGTTCCAGCCATTAGCTTTATTCAAGTAATGCAATTTCCAGTGACATGTCTGCTGAGATTTTCTGCAGAGAGAACTGTAACTGCCTGGGAAAAGCAATTTTGTGCTGAACATCACAATGACCTGAGGAAGTTCCACAAAAAATTGAATTAGAATTGTTTTAACTGGCTCAGAGTACAGCACAGCAGGTTTATCATACTTATGTTGGAAAGGACCTTAAACCTCATGTGGTTGTAATCCCCTGCCATGGGCAGGGAAACCTTTCACTAGACCAGCTTGCTCCAAGCCCCATCCAACCTGGCCTTGAACAAATATTCCTGTTACTTCACATTAAAGACTTCAAGTGGTTTTATGCAAGCTTCTGAAATTTCTGCATTTGCAGCCAAGTTCAGGCTGTAGATGTTACTTCTCCACAGATCCAAGATACCATTGCACACTCCACAAACACAAATTGACCCTCATTCCAGCCTGGCAGACTGAACAAACAACATTTATGGTGTCAAACAGTCCCTCTCCAACAGCACCTAAGAGCTATCTGGGTATTTTAAACCAAGCTGCATCAAAACAATACACAGACAATGAAATGTGGCACAGAAACACACATGGGCTGCCTCTGCCTTCACAGCCAAGCATTTCTGGTTCAGCCAGGCTTTCACTGGTGTTGCCCAGCAGGGAATTCTGGAGCACTGCATAAATCCCAACATTTCCAGCTGAGTTCTGTGGTTGTGCTACCCACAAGCACAGAGTGGTAATTGTATCACCTCTGACCTCTCCACAAGAGGCCAGCAGTTCCCAACTGCTTTGGCATATAGAGACTTAAACATGTACAGTTAAAGGTTAAATTTGGACTTGGGAGAATTTGTGCTCCCCCAGTGGATGAGAACACTTCTGTGTAAGTCCAAGAAAGCTGCACTCACCTCACAGGGAGGGATGTCCTGAACCCCAGCAATGAGCTCTGCCAGTGACTCCCTTGGAGCGGGACCCTCTGGGGCAGCCAGGAGCTGCAGGAGGAAAAGGAACATCAGGCATGAGGAGGAACTGACTCTGGTGTCTGATTCTGCACAGGAGCTGTTTGTTATTCACATTTTACAGTGATGAGTTTTGAACCATCTTCAGCCACTTCATTCACGGCAGGACACAGTGATGACCTCAAACTCCTGAGCTAGGTAACTGATCCCAAAGACGGACAGGCCGGTGTGAGCCCACCAGGGTACCGAGGGGTGAAAGGGACACGGTTTTTGGATAGCTTATAGCAGTTTAATTTTTAAGCTCTGACAATGACCCCTTAGAGGAGCTGGTATGGGGGAGGTCGGACCACCGCCGTTCCATTAGAAGAGCGATGCCGACTGTCCTGTCTCTGCGGCTGTCACGGGAGGACGAACCGGCCCAGGTGCCAAGGCACCGACTTCTGCAGGTGCGGGGGCCCCGCGCGGGCCCAGCCCCGGGAATGGGCGGGAGCGGGCTGGGCAGGCACTGCCGCTAAGGGGCGCTTCCCGGGCTCCCCTCCCGCAGCGTCGGGGCAGGGCGGCCGCAGCCCAGTCCCGGAGCGCCGTGCCAGCCCTACCTGAGCCGGGCCCCGCGGAGCCCCCGCGCCGCCGCCGCCGCCGCC